GTTTATAATTGCTCTAAAATTGTCATTTTCCATGTCATAGCTGCCATTTTTTATATTTGCTAGTTTTCATGGTGTGGATTTTTATTTTTAGCATTTTTCTTTTGTGACGGATGAGAACTATTTCCTTTTTTTTTTTTTTTTTTTTTTTGGTCCTAGGCCCGCCTGGCCTGATGTGACGAAGGGGTATGTTCTTATGTTCCCCAGAATATTCCACATTCACTACCAGCCCACTGCCTTGGCACAGCCTGGGCACTCTAAAATCCTTGTGAGCAGGAGAAAACGGAGGTTCCTGAGTGTAGTGTAAGGAGCTGGGCCATGGAACTTTGCTTATGTCTCTGAAATCCCAGGACTGGGTCTGCTTGGGCTAACAAAGAATTTGACCTTCACACAGCCACCCGGGCCTTGCACCTAGGGAACGTTCAGCTTAGACAGTAAACCCTGTGGACCCAGTGCATGGATGGCCACATTCTCCAGTCTTCTCAACATATATTCATTCACTTCTGGCAAGGCCAGACCAGATCTCTGATATTGGAGATGAGGACACAGATACATTTTTCCTGGATATTCCCACTTCATCTATTCATTTAGTCCCTAAATCTTATCACTCTAAGATGTGCGTATGTGTGAGAAAGGAAGGGTGTGAGTGCATGAACACACAAGTATGAGCATACATGTATATAATAAATCTATACAGTTACACATATCCGCTCAGTGAGAGCTCCTTCCTATACTTTGTCCTTTCCTATTACCCTAAAGCTATAAAGGGTTGCTACTACCTTCCTTATATGACAGTTGGACCCAACTGAGCCCCCAACTGTGGAAAAGACACGCGAAGGCTGCTGGTCAACCAGGCCTAATTTGTGGTCTGATGAAAAATAGTTCAAGCTAGTTATGTACTTCAATCCTTTTCCTTATGTGACATTATTTATTTATTCCCCTCCATTATTGCTATCTCTAACTTAGTTCACTAGAAGAAACGTTTAATTGAACAAAAAAAAAAAGGAAAAGTTTAATCAACAGGAAAGCAGGATCTTTCTTCTTAGCATGGGGAGCAATGCCTGGCATTCACCAAGTGCCCAGTAAGTGGATAAATTAAGAACAATCACAGTCATAAATACAGGGAGAGCTTGTTGTGTGATAAGTAGTGCACTAGTCACTTTACAGCCTTAACCATTGCCTCATCTTGCAACCCCATAGGATAAGTACCCATTATCACCCCCATTTTAAAGATGGGAAAACAGGCACAGAGAGGTTCAGGTTACACAGCCAGGAAAAGGTGGTGCTGGGATCTGCATCCAAGCAGGCTGGCTATGTCTCACTTTCTCTTTCCAGTGTATTCTGGTAGGACATAAGTTGGGACTGCAGTTGGGAGGAAGTAGTGGCTGGGTGGAAAACAAATCTGAATACTCATATGCTAATTTTAGTGCTAAAAACAGACAGGCTTCCAATCATCATGGAGGGGGCAAGAGAGCAGCAAGCTGGGAACATTCTGAAAAATGCATTTCTAAGTTGTGATCTTCTTCTTGGAGGCACGTACTTATAAGCATAATTACTCCCTCCCTCTCATCCTGGATTTCTGCCACTGATTTGTAGCTTGAAGCCACAAGGCCATGTCTGTAACATCTCTGTCTGTTCCAGGAATGCCTCTGATGAATCCAAACATTATTCTTTTAACAAATGAAGCAGTAAGCAGCAGGAGTTGAGTTATGAAGGACAATATTCAGAGAATGTTTAGACACATGATTAAATGGCAATTTGGAGAGGAGTGCTAGAAAAAGGAGATCATCGACATCTAAAGAGATTTGCACATGGATGTGTGAAGGTACTGGTGAGCAGATGCCTGCCACAGAAGTGTACCTCTGGCTCCTGCTGTGTGGAGGAGCCTCATTTTCTCAATTTATATTCCTGCCAGCCTTTTTAGTTCCTTTAGTTACTGCCTGGATAATTGATCTTTTTCATAAATCAGAGTTGAGGTGGAATTTAAAGAAATCAAGGTAGTACTCTATCACAAAGGTCTAGATCCCGTTGGGTCTGGTGAAATGGTCTTAACTCAAAACCTCATTGTGGAACTTGTGCATCCCAGACAGATTAAAAACAAGCTCTGGAATAGTTTGATTTGAAAAGTCTCTATCCATGGGCCAGTTTTGCTTTAAAACTGCTACCATGTTTGTTCACATTATGGCCAACAGATTAGATCGTATACGAGCTAAAGGGCTCCATACACCTCTGGGCACTCAATAAAAGCTGTTGCTGCTGATAAATACAATGATGGGTACTGGATTCCTGGCACAGTTTGTTTCCCCAAGCTAGAATGCAAAAGAAATGCTGCTTTCAGAACATGAGGCACCCTCTCCCAAACATTTAAATTTGCATTTCAAAGGAAATTTAAACTGACTTTTGAAAATTACTATTACTTCCAGCCAATACACTTTGATTTCTTATCTGAGTTTCCAAAAACTAACTCCTTAGTGGTCTCTAGGCAGACAAATGTGCAACCCAACCCCTGCTGTACCTCTACCTTCACACCACAGTCCTGTGTGCTATGAAGAGGTTCTCTGTTGCTTCCTTCAAAGTGGGGCTCACTTCATGGGTATTCAACCTAGATAGGTACGCAGGGTCCATGCTCTGAAGCAACCTTCACTTGCTTTAATGCTTTGTTGTTACCCTTCTGGAATGCTTCATCATTTATAAATAAAATAGTCTTGCTATTATAAAGCTGGTCCTTCTTAGAATATATTGTATGTTTGATATGTATAAACATAAACAATTTCATAAATTTGTATTTTAAAAAACAGGGCATTTTGTAATTCTGAAAAAAAAGTCATCTACTGTAAACAGCTTAATCATCTCTTAGCAAGACACAGTCTTCTGCAATCTGAAAAAATGAATTACAAAAATCTGTTTGAAGCTGGATTTGGAGACCACAAGGCCTATTGCAGAGAAACTGGCACTCACTAAACACATTCTGTATCTTCTGTTACCCCTTCTGGCCTGTTCAAGGATTTGGCCCAAATGAGCCTGACATCACGGGCAGGTAGAAAAGTTACCCAGTGAGTCCCAGCCCTATCAGGCCAGGACATGCATCCCAGCACACTAGGAGAGCCCTCTCTAGGGAACCTTTTTTCCCTAGTTGGCTTAGAAAGCCCTGGCATGGTGTGAAGCCCAGTATACTTTGATTCAGATGAATGTTATTTCATAATTATTTTTAAATCCATAATTCTGATTTTTAACTAAGATATGTTTGCAATTGGATCATGTTCAGGAATACAGAATAGCCTAAATTAGTTGTTAAAAGCTCTGTTTTTTCTTTCCACAAATAGAAGTCCTTCAGGGATTAGTTTTAATGAATAGATGAGAATAATGCATAATTAGCATATCAGTTGTTTAACATATTCAGGAGAACAACCTTCTTAAGCAGTTTCAGAAAAGTATGTGTATAAAACCTCTCTGAGTTATGTTTATTGTTTTAATGTGTTCAATAAAACTCTTTTACATGAATTCTCCAAAGGTCAGTTTTTATCCAGCCTATTTGTGCACTTTCACAAATTGTGAATTGGAGAACTCCAAAATAAAGAGGATTTTCTATATAGTAAATAAAGACACTCAATAGGAACACTTCACAACATACAGGCTATGACCCATTCAAAATGTCTGCTTTTCCCTTCTGCGGTGAAAGATGGTTCCATTAAGCAAAGATCTATTTTTTTAATTGTTATTTGGCATTTGGTTGAAATAGTGAGAAAACAAAAGCTGTGATCATTTGACATGTATGAAGCTACTATAAAAAGAAAAACTGCTTTGGATCTCTTGGCCGCCCATCCTCCGGCTTTTCCATCACTCTGTCCTTTTTCTGCAGCAGAGAACTGACCAGGGCTCCCCGTCATGTCCGTTCCTCACCCCAGGACTGCTTTCTCAGGGAAAGTCACACGTTGTCCTCTCTACCTTCCGCTCATATTCAATCTATTCCCACATCTTATCAATGTTGCCACTAAACACTAAAATCCATCCATCTCTACCTTAGTCCAAGCTATAATACTGACACATTCAGATCTCCTACTGCCATCCTACCCTCCATGCTACCAATCACACACCAGCCAAGGCAATTCCCTTAAGATGTGCACCAGATTTAACCACTCTCCAACTTCAAGCCCTTTCAACTTCTTCACTGATCTGAAGACAAAGACACAAAAACATGCAAAGATCCTCCCTGTCAATCTCGCTGTAGTCCATCTCATAAGCTCTCTGTGCCTTCTGAGATGGTCAGTTTCCCCATACTCTCTCCCTGAAGCCTACATTTGCTTCCCTTCTCCTTTAGGAAATACTCTTCCCCACAAAACCTCCCTGCAGTGTGGCTCAAATGTTAATGTTAAAATCTATATTATTTCCTTGGAAACTCTTTCTCTGATCCTCAAGACCTGGTCATACAGCCTTTCTTGCCTTCCTCACACTTTTAGGGATTTATAACCAAATGCTTGCTTATTTGTGTCACCCAAGTGATTAATGTTGATATACTCATCTAAATCACAAACTTCATGCCATTTAGTTCTCAACCTGTATTAGGCAACTTTTTCCTCCCTGAGACACAATATCAGACACATACACCTGAAAGCAGAAGAGGTTTAATGCGCTTCTTGGTTTGGAGAGACTCAGTCCATGGTCAGCTGGCTCCAAGGCAGATTAATCACGGTGGAAGGATGTGGTGGAAGGAAAGCTCAATGCATGGCAGCCAGGAAGCAGAGTAGGGAAACAGTTCACAGAGGAAGGTGCCGAGGGCCACATATAATACCCAAAGTCATGCCTCCATGACCCACCTAGACACACTCAAATGTGCTTTACTAATCCCGTGAGTCTTTCTTAAGTCAATCACTTTGACACAATTAAGATTAACCATCATCCCACCTTAGCTCAAGTCCCAATTAGCGTCTCCCACATTAGAGGTGGCCCACAGGCATATCCTGTACCCATATCCTGAGTAGGGAGGAGGGAGCTGGACAACTCACCGCACTCATGAGCGAGTCCAAGACGCTGACAGCAAATGCTGTTCCGCATGCAAAGGGCTGTGTGAGGTACAGTTCTGTGTCGGGGTCATCATCATCGTCTTGGTCCAAAAACTGAACATTAGTATCATTCACTGGAAAGAGCGTAAAATAAAAATTAGCATCAAAGACCATACACAGGCAGAGAAGCCATAGAAAGACCAGATGACTGGTTTAGAAACACTGACGTTACTACAAAGGAAACAAAAGCATGGGGAAGATGTTGATAAATCTTCGGATTGGGGGCAGTGGGACTCAATGGACTGCTCCTATGGGACTGTTTAAACTTCTGAGACCTGGAGAGCAATGCTGTCAAGCAGACTTGCCCCATGGCAGGCTGCTGAAGGACTAGTAGACAGCACTGGCCCGTCCTTTGGTATAGTTTCAGAATCGTGACTGAAAAACACTTTGGAGCATTTTTTGGTAGCCAAGTCCTTTGAGAGATGGACAAATTTCAGTGACAAGCAGCCATGCTGGAATGGTAAGTTGAGCCATAAAGAAAAGTAAGCGATTTATTCAAAGGAAAGAGCAACGGACAGAAGCACAGCAAAGGTATTGCAAGGAAAACACCCACAGGCACGACCCACACCTACCCTGCATGCTGCCTGATATCCTTGGCCCCTGAATCCACCCCACAGGGCCTGCTGACAACTCAGGAACCTCCAAATGCAGTGGAGCCCTCGCTGTCTCTGGCAGCACACTGACAAGGACTCTCTGCATTCTGAGTTGCAAGGCTACACCCACGCTTTCCCTTTCTCTTTCTAAACAGTTCAGTCTTCTCTGTGCTTCTGCTCAAGCAGACACAGCCCTGGATGCTGTATCTCATTTCCATGTGAGGATTCCTCAAGGGCTCCTCTACACACACGTGCAGACTGATTAGTTGTGTCACTCAGATGTCTTTAACTTATTAAAAATTAAATGACAAATTAATTTCCATTCCCGTCTTGCCTTCAGAAATTATCACTTGTGCAGAGCAAGTAATAGAGGAAAAGTGGAGGGATGGCAGTGGGAAGAGGGGTACTTGTGATTTCTGGAATAATTAGAGTGCTTTTAGAAGGAGAACAGATGAGATTTCCCTTCTCTGTTTCTTTTCTAAATGTATCAGCTGCTAATTCTCTTTCCTAGAGTTATTGTTTTAATTTTTTGCAGTAACTTTTTCTACAACTTTTCCGTTTTGAAAAACCAAAACTTTTGTTTGTTTGTTGTATGAGGCAGAATAAATGATAATACAATAAAAGGCTAAGCATGGAATTATTTTTAAGTGACACTATCTCTTCTCCCTGCAGGAAGACTCTCACAGGGGAAAATCATTGCTCCGTTTTTCCAAGGCCATCCTGTTGGGTCCCTATTGTCTCAGCAGCCTGTGAATTGGAGGCTATTGGAAGAAAGTCCAAAATCCAGGTTCTGACAACTGCGCTTTGAGTCCAGACACTGCTACCAATTTTCTTGAACAAAGCATTTTCTGATCCTAAACCTAGGTTCCCTCTTTAAAAATGGAGAAATTAAGGCAGTCCTCTCAAAAAGTTGTCTGCAGGCTCGTATATGATCATGCCTAGTGAGTCTGGCCCAGCATGTGGATCATGCTGTGCACTAGATAAAAGGAGGCTATTACCGGGATTACCTTTGTGACACTAAATGTCTATCAATCCATATGTTATGAAAATACCCAGCTTCCCTCTGCCTCTCTCAGAAACACTGTTATGAATCCCTCAAATGGTAGTTTTTTCTCACTTTCTTCTGTCTTATTAAATTAAGTTTGGACTAAAGGTACCTCCATAAATATTTTAAGTTTGGCCCAAATGTGTCTCCATCTACAGTGCACTATAACCTAACTTGATGGGTTAAACAAGCTATAATGTCCTCCTATAACAAGTAGCTGAGTCTCAGCCAATCACAAGTGAAACACTGCTCCAACCAGGTCCACATAAGACAGGTATGACCTGTCACCAATCAGAGTGACTCAGTACTTCCCCCCTTCCATTTTCTCTGTCATTTCTTTTTTTCTAACCACTACTATGATCTGACCACCTGGTGGCTTCTAGCATTCTGAATCATTTTATCCTGGGCTGTTGCCCCATTCCAGAATCACAAATGAAGCAATCAAGAAAACTAGGATCAATATAATTTAGACTTCTAAAAATTTATGTTATTAGAGTTTCTGCTTTGTTCATCACAAAATGTAAGCTGAAGACCATGTGCAGTGCATTTTTAATAGCTACTAACACCACCTGGTGGCTTCTAGCATTCTGAATCATTTTATCCTGGGCTGTTGCCCCATTCCAGAATCACAAATGAAGCAATCAAGAAAACTAGGATCAATATAATTTAGACTTCTAAAAATTTATGTTATTAGAGTTTCTGCTTTGTTCATCACAAAATGTAAGCTGAAGACCATGTGCAGTGCATTTTTAATAGCTACTAACACTAGGGAAGGGATGGCATCATACCTAGAGGAAAAGTGGCTCCAAGTAGGAGAAAGGACTCCAGATCTTCATTGATGAGGAAGGTGGATCATTGGAAAAGAACTCCAAGGCCCTAGCCAGGGTTCAGTGAAAACCTTATATACTGTTCTGGACTGCCAGTCTCAGGAGAACAGCCAGCACTACTGAATGCCTACCTCACAGAACGGCAATTACGTCGGTTCTAAGAAGTGACAAAAACATCACCCCAGAATGTATGCGGGTAAATACAATTGAGAAAAAGTGGCTTAAATGCCTTTAAACAAAATTCTTTCTTGTGGAACTTTTAGGAATGTTTGCCATGCTAACATGGACTGGAAGTCTCCAGGTAGATGAAGACTGCAACATACTACACAGTTTAAAAAACTTATTTGGCCTTGGTTCTATCTTTTCAAGGGCCATTTGATGGCTCAGTATAATGTAGCACACATCTCAGAATGGTCAGGTAAATAGTAAACATTTGTGGGGGGTGATATGGGAGATGCAGTTAGAGGAGGGTTACTAGAGAAACAGGGTGCCAGGCTAAAGACTGGGGTAATTTGAGCCAAGGGAGGCTTAGAGAACACAGAAGAATGGAGCTTCAGGATAGTCAGTTATGCTCACTGAACACCTGAGTTGTCACCTTAGATTTGGGGCACCAAGCATTTTCTTTCCTCTTGCACTGATCACAAATCAGGATTTCCTAGTTAGTTAGCATAGGAATTCCAAATAGAAAAAGAAATTCTTGGCACAGGATGCTTTTGCAGGCTACTGTTGGTTTCTGGGGTGGAGATGTTTGGATGAATTTCCTGTCAGAGGTCTGGTCCACATGAACTGCTTGAGTCTCTTACAGCCCTGTGGCTCTGACAAGAGCAAACTCGAAACCTAGGCTTCCTGTCAACCACACTAAACACAAAAGAGACACCACTTCTATGGATAGAAACAGAAAACAGTGTGATACTTCTTGACCTGAGTGAATTCATGCTGATAGATAGCTACGTCTACAATAATGCAGTGCTGAATGATGGACAATTTATTCCTTAGTTTCTAGACACCTCACAAGCAAGATTAGTGTGTTAAAAGCATGCTCTCTTTTGAAATATACTTTTGGGCCAAGAAAATGGAGTGCTCGTTTCATTTTTTGAGTCATTCAAAAGCAAGGTGCCTCCTACCTCTCTAGCTATGGCTGAGTCAAGCTGCACTTTCACTATCTCTACTTAGAAGATCAATCCCCAGTGCTGAGACCTGCTGCTGATAGGTGCCCTTCATGGGGTTATTAACCAAGTCAGGGGAAGCTACGAAAGGCTCCAACAAATGCAGTCATGACCGGGAGGCCTTTATCTTGCAGATGAATCCACTATAAACCTCCCAGAGAGGGCTCTGGGCAGGGAGGTGGAAGTCAGAGTGCAGGGCTGCTAACCTCCTCTGCTGTACCCTTCTGGAAATCTGGCTTTAGTAAGAAAGGGTTCCCCTAGGAACGAGCTGCTTTTATGGCTTCAGAACCAGAGCTTCTGAGAAAGGGCCTAGTAGAGGGAAAAAAGGCAAATAAAGTCAGAATAAAGGAAAATAAACAGCTGGAGGGAAGGCACCTTCTTAGATTTCTTATCTTAAAATTTTTATATTTCTCCTTTGACTTCCTCTGAGAGCTGTGAAGACATGTCAGTCAAACTGACAGCGCACTGGAAGAGAGAACATAGGGAGAAGGCGGGGGAGCAGGGGCATGAGTGAAAAAAAAAAAGGCTTGGGCCACAGAAAATGAATTAGAGCAAAGATGCTTTGGAAACAACTGCCGGGTCAGATGGGTGTGATCAAAGGTTTACTGATGCTGTGTGGGGAAAAAAATCATTAAGAAAGGCCAGAACAAGACAGTCGATTCCAACTAGAGCCACAAATAAAACACATTCAAAGCAGTGCCATGGGGGAGCCTTTCTGTTACAGCCGGTGAAATAAACAACAAGCCAATGAGAGTTGGAAACACCAAGAACAGAACAAAAGGAAATACTGATGTCAAGGAAAACAGTACTTCTTACCCAGTTCAGTTATCATTAGAATGTGCGTCCCACTGTTTTTTTCCTGATTGACAGATACCAAAGGCAACTTGCCCGGTTTAGCTAATTGGATACAGCATTTAAGGGTTAGGGAAAGGGAGTGGAGGAAAGCACAGAAAAAGAAAACAGTGAGGGAATAGGAAACAATGCTAAAGTTTAGGCACCCTTAGGAAGTTTGCATTTGTCTTGGGGGAAGAGCACTCAGGCATTTTGTAAATTCACAAATGACAGCAGGGGTGTGGGAGGTGCTGTGGACAGGTGAGAAACTGGATTCATTGGCCAGTAAGTATGAAACTCACAAACCCATCACTTTTGGACCAGAGTGGCCAATTGCTGAAAATGGCTTTTGGCTGAGAAGTTCATCTCAGTTCATCATTTTAGGATAGGCTACGTGCAAAGTTGCTCCACATTAGACCCATGCGACCAACCAGTTCTCAAAGTGGATTTGGATTAGACCTGAAGTTTTGTATATCAGCAGAGGGCCTAGATAACAGGAACTCTCAAGAGGTGCTCCCAGTGAAAAGTCACTAGAAAGAATCCAGGACCTATACCTTTCCTCCTTTCTTCCTCTTTCCCAAATATATGCTCCAGTTTCAAAGCCATTATCTCATGCTCCTTTGAAAACAGTGATCAGCATTAAGGAAACTGTCTATTCATCCCAGAGGAAAGATAGATCAGTTTTTCCTTCAGGTAATGTGCCGGGTTACCTGTATCTGTCTGCAACCTTCCCAAACAAACCCAACTACAGCCCAGGAGATTGAAAAGGCTAAGTAACAGGCCAAACTCTCATATCCTACACGATCTAGAAGACCCCTCAGAAGTGACAGTGAGCCCTACCTAGTTCAGTGATGATGGGGATGTTCACCCCCGTCGTGATGGATGGCTGGCGTAACATCCCATGTACTGGGCTGTTATCTGGAGAGGATCTATCCATTCCTGGAGGTGTGAATCCTAGTGAGAAGGAAAGAAAGGAGGGATAAAATTAAAGAAGTGAAAAATTTGGAAATAATGAGTACAGTCCACGCAACTCAAAAAAATGTAGTTATGCATTATGTACAGATCAACCAATAAGATTTCCAAGATAAAGTCTGACGAGGCATTTTTTTCCCAAGGATGAAGTAGGAAACTATTGCAAATAATGCTAACTCACTTTGGTAGTTCCCTAAAAATCCAGACGACACCAATTATTTATCTTGCTTACAGATTTTGATTCCCCTCTCCATCCCAGCACACAGGAGGACTTATCTCTGTGTTCCCTTGGAGTTAGACTAGACTAAATGACATATGAAATGATCTGGCCCATGAAAAGTGAACAGAACAATGACTATCGCTTCTAGTACAAATACTTGACTCACTGTTTTTCCCTTATCGAGCCATGGCAACTGGAGGAACACTGAGTACTGTGGAGATGAAGCCAGGTCAGAAGGCCAGGGTAGTTACCCATAACTTCAAAACATTCTGTCCAAGTAAAACTAAAGCTGCCTTGCTTTAAGCCACTGAGATTTGTCCGTCTGTGGTTATTACCACACCATAACCTAACCTTTACTAACTGCTACTTTGATCACTGATCCTTTTGCCAATGAGTGGGGCTCTCTGGCTAATGGGATGTGGGGTGAAATCTACTTGGGGCCTTTTAGGAATTTCTGCCTTCTCTTAAAAGAAGCACATAGGAAGAGATTCTCTCTTAATCTTCTGGTTAAGCATGGCTGCCTATAGCATGTGGATCAGTGGCCACTATACTGCAAGTGAGATGAACACTACCAAATATAAAAATATCCCCTGATAAAGTGGTTGAATTAAGTAACAGAAAGAACTATCCTAGAGTTTCTGAGGAAAACATCCTGGAACCACCCTCTCTTGGGATTCTTAATATGAGATTTTATGCATAAATTCACTCACACACATGCATGCAACATTACACTTACACACATACACAATATAATACTTTTGTTTAAGCTCTATTGAAAAGGAATTTCCTCTATTTGCTGTAAAATAATCTTGATTGATGTATATGCCACTATCTTAGAGTGACTCCCTTGAGCATCTTGTTGTGTCCAACAGAGACATGTGGTCCAAGAAAGCTGAAAAGTGGACAGCTTGGCTTGTGATCTTGCACTTCGGGCTTCTTTGGGTCTCAGGAGCCAAGCCCTCTGTATCTGTTGGGATAAGCTTGGATCACTCAGAGCTTTAAATTCAGTTAGTTAAGAGTGAGAGTGAGGAATTGTCCCAGTTATGTCCAGTGGAGGCTTCTTTAGGAAGACGCACAGAGATGCAGGCTCATGAGAAACTTACTTGCCACACGTTCAGTTGGTGGAAATTAACTTTTCCAAATGAAGGATATGACAAGTGGAGCTGGAACTCTCAGCAACACGGTGGCTGTGAAGCTCCATATGCTCCCCCGCCACGGAGGACAGGCAGGTGTTCAGTTACTTTGGTTTCTCCTCCTCGCCCTCAGTGCGTTGCTACATGGGCTTATCAATGAATTAGGGTTTTATAAATACAAAGTCACTTGCTAGTTTTCCAAGGGCAAAATTCTAAGCAGATAGTGTGGCCAGATTCCTGACTCACTCTCCAGGAGTGTGACAAGATGGAGCCAACTCTGCCATTTTGGCTACGTGTGAATCAGGAATGAAATGACAGGTGCTAAATAATTGCCTGTTGTTTGGGAGGCACTTAATGCATGAAATGCCAGAAAAATATAAAAACATGTCTTATTTTCTGTTCTCTTGTGTATATATTTCCTATCAAGTGCCACAGTTTCAGGAAGAGAGTTCTACTTATTACTGATTCCTTGATGGCATTTAATTTTACTCTTCCTATTAACATACCGTGAACAAGGTAAGTCATTTCGAATGGCATAGCAATAATCCATCTCCCTAAACTTTGGAAGGGGTGTTTTTTGGCCAACCACATAACCAAAAACATGCATTTTAAATTCTGACTGTTTTCTTCCCCTGGAAGAGTGAAGGGGAAAACTAAACTGTTTTCATCAGAAGTTTCACTCAAAGGCATGAAAAACTGCAAGTGACAGCTGTGCAGATTCAGTGGATGTGATGTTTTTGAATTTCTTCAACTTGACAAGTAAACACCTTAAATCGGTAATGCTATATGCATAATACATAGCCTGTATTTTGACATCCATCATCGAATGCTGACTTGAGAAAATACAGGTTTGTACGTCAAGGAATAGCACCCATAAAGCAGGGAGAAATGCAGGTCCCACGGCATTAGGAAAACTGTATTTCATTACAGAACCTGCAACAAGCACAGCATCCTTTTATTTTATCTTATTTAAAGATTCCATTTTCAGCTGTGAAAAGACTCAATTCCTTTGCATGAAACCTTCGTTTAGAAATGACATGCTTACTTCATAGGTCTCTTTCATTTTGCTTTCATATTCCATTTTCCCTTTCAGTCACCAAGCTTGGTCCCATTACCATTTGCAAATGACAAACTATGGTGGGTGTCCAAAGGCACCTCTTCATCGGAGGTCTGTCTATCCATTTGCAAATGGTACCATTTGCAAATGACAAACTATGGTGGGTGTCCAAAGGCACCTCTTCATCGGAGGTCTGTCTTTTCCCCATGCAGGACCCCAGAAGAGGATGCCTTTGTTGGCAAGAAAGCTTCAGCAATTATAATGTTTCTTCATATTTTGCTACCTCTAAAGAAAACATCAAGCAAAAACAGACTTCCTTTTTCCCTAGTGCAGGATTGTACTGAAGATGAATACAAATTTATTAGCATCATTTTTCTTAGGGTTCCAAATATGGAAAAACTATGGTCTAAGATGTCAGGCTGACCCAGATTCCCTAACTGACTTTGGAGAGAAGAGAAATCCAGATGCCCTCCCTCTAAAAGGATGAGGCAATCTATCCTTTAATGCCAAGGGATGGCTTCTTCCTCATCATCAGACTCAAGGTTGGCAAAAGGGCAGGTCTCAATGACTTCCCATCTTTTCTCACTGGCAGTAGAAAATATATACTTATGGTGCATTTTGAGTCTCCATGTGAGCACAATGGCACGTGGACTGTCCTCTAGGGATCTACAGTTAGGGAACAATGACAATGGGGAATGCTCCTTTATTGGTTAAACTAACACTCGGGAAACTAATTTTAGAAATATTTTCTGATTTTGCCAAAAGAGCATTTGCATTAGATAAGTCAAAAAAGAAGTCCTCGATCAGGAGAAGACCTAAGTTTAATTCTTCCACAGACCAAGCTTTTGCTGAAATGCATCCCTGGTTCTTCTGACGTGTCCCTGTTACTCTCTGTTGAGCAGGGCCATGGGAGGCCAGTGTTGAGCTAAAAATGGCTTCCAAAGACCACCTCACCTCCTGAAACTGAAGTCCTTTCCCACTCCAGTCTTTAGTGGTAGAAGTGATAGACATTTGTTATCTACTCATTTTCATCAGGCATAAGTGCCCGACCAGCACTATCTCATGCCAAGTATTTCGCACGGCGTGTAGAACTTTATGCCACAGGCTAGGTTTTCTATTTCTTCCAAATTGCAGGCTGTCTACAAAATAACTGGCGTACAGAGAAGAAAGAATGGAATCGTTCAGAGTGTAGGCTCGAAGTCAGATTCTTGAATTCAAATTCTGGCTCATCACCTCTCAGTCATGTAACTCCAACCACTGCTTCTGGTTCTTCATTTATAAACTAGAAGTATCTCCTATTTAGGGCAGCTGTAAGGCTACCATGAAATGCACAAAGCTCAGTGTGAAGTAAGTACTCCAAACTGCTGGCTGCCAATGTTAACATGTTATTAGGTACAAATAAATACGGGTGGGTAGATAGAACACCCATCACTATCCCTTTGCCATGGATAAAAAACTGAGGAAGATTTGGTAATTTAGATTTTTTTTCCTTCCCGCAAGGAAACATCTGGGGAAGTTAACAAGAGGGCAAAGGGCATTATGAATATGTTTTGGTAGAAATAATCAGCTCAGTCCTGAAATAAAATTCCAATTCAAAATATCTAGGGAAGAAGGATATGAATATGGGGAGAACTGGGATTCTCTTTAGGTATATGGAAAGTTATTGGGCAGCCATCATGAAGAAAGGTACTTATAGTAACTACAGAATATATCTAAAGCTTTCTGTTTTCTAGACTTATCTCCCACCTCCTTTAATTAGTTGGAAGCACAATTTTTGTTTTGTTTTAGTTTTGTTTGCTTGTTTGCTTCTTGGGTCCTGAAATGCATTCACTATTCTCTATGTTCTTTTCAAGCATTTGTGTTCTTGGCCATATGCAATCCTGTTATGTTCAGCTGAAGAAAATCAGTAGAGCATGATGTGCTTTTCATGATACTAGTTAGTCTAGAGACTGGCAGAGCTAAGCCTCAACCAGGGTAGTTAGGGGAAGATTAAATGAAATGTTCAGACAATGGTAATTCAATTACGTTGGCTTGGAATGAAAGAGTTCAACACAAACACTTGGTCTATCCTGAGAAGTACTAGGAGACAAGCTACAGGAATAATATAAGATCACCAAGGCTTCTTTATTATTAATTATTTTAGATGATCCCTGTATGCATGCATCATATGGTTATAAGTAGAGCAATGGCTCAAATAAGCTCTCCCAGAGGGGGAATGCTAGAAAGGTCCAGGGCAATGGAAACATAAGTGCCATAGAAAATGACAAAGGTTCCATGTCATGGTCCATATGGAGCTCAGAGCAAAAGCAAGGATGCTCCAGAGCTAGACTGATTAGGATCACTGAAAATGAAGAACTGGCACTAAAATAGGGCCTGGAGGGAAAAATAACAGTCAAGATTTATTGAGTGCTTCCTATGTACTGAACTGTATACATGCAACAACTTTAGTTGTACAAACCATCCTAAGTAGATGTTACTACTTTACAGATGAGGAAACTGAAGCACAGAGAAGGATGGGGCTCTTGCCCAGGGGCACATAGCTAGTCCGCAGATCGCAGATTTGAACCCAACC